AAAAGGAGAGTCACTTTGACAGTCTCCAGAATCTCACTCACGCCCTTCCCTCCACCACTGTGAAGTGGTCCACAAGGAGGATTCACAGAACACCCTTTGAAAACCACTCATCTAGTCCAAACCCTCACTTTCTAGAGAAGGAAACCAAGATTCAGAATAGGAGTGACTGGTTTAATAGTACATTTCACTTCCCAACTAGAAAAGAGGGAGGGAAGCTGAATAAAACAGTTCAAGAATTTCATAAAAAATGTAAATTGTCAAGAAGGGATTTTCTATTTTAATTTTCTCAAAGTAGCCCCTTTATGAAAGGGAGCTTCAAAACTGATTTTAAGGCAACCAGTCAGCCAGAGGCTGAAATGAACAACTACTAGTTAGCCTGCAGGGCCTACAGAGAGGAGCGTGGCAGAAGCCACACAGACCTCATGTCACTTGGCACTTGAACATGGAAGATCCTGGCCCCAACAATTCAAGTACTGGAGGTTTCAAGAGAAATATTTAGAAAATTAGGAATAAGAACAGACAAGTGCCTAGCTCCCAGGTCCCCAAGGAGAATTCACCATCTATTACACAGAAATATTAACGGAAGTGGGCATGTTAGATCTTAAAGTGAACAGTGCAACCAAAATCACTAGTTTGACATTTCTTCAGAGGATCCTCTTCACAGAGGAAAGTCCTAGTTTGGTCACTGTTAGCCACAGCAGACTTGAAATTAAACCAGAAAGTTAAAATGCATGTCAAGTGCTGAACTTATTTGATCAGGGCTGTGATCTCTTCTGATTTCATGGCATCAGACAGGAAGCTGAGCTCATTGCATAAGGTCTCGTATCGGAATGCCATCCGGATCTGAGCAACATTTGTCTTTCGAATATCATTTCCTTCAGGTCCTTCTTTATAATAATTTTGTCCCAAAAACTTTTGCTTTTCCTGTGGACCAAGAGAAATACAAATGAAGCAATACACTTTAGATGTGCTTTGTATATCCATGTGGGCAGCTTTTGACATTTGCCACAGCAAATCAGACTAGTCCCTCTAAAGCAGATCCTCAATCAGGACATCTCCCTACGGGACTCATAAAATTCCTCCTGGCCTCTGTGTTCTTGAGGATGTCACCCTGACAACCTCAGTCATTTCCTTTATTCCTGACTATGCTTTCCTTAGAGAGGAAAGATACAACTGCAAGAGCTGCTGGGGATGGAGAAGGCAAGGTGAAGGCTTTAAGACTCTAATTAAGAAGTCCCCCGAGAATTGGCAATTGCAGACTGGTGTTTCTAGGCAGGACCAATCCAAGGCACAATCCCTCACAGTCTTGAGTCTTTAACTCTTTTCTGCATCTTCATCCAACAAGAGAATCCCCAAATGCAGCCTCTCCCTGTACCAGTGACATCGCCCAGGGGAGGTGCTCAGGGACCTAAGATCCCATCCAGAACATGGTTCTCAGCACCGGTTCCCCATCAGAATCACTTATGGAGCTTTTATTTTATTTTATTTTATTTTCCTTTTTGTCTTTTTTACTGACCGGTAACGGGATCGCNACTTAATTGTTCAATATACATTTACTGAGCACCTACTACATACCAGGCACTAGTAACACAGATGAAGAGTACATTGGTAAAGCTTAAATTCAGATTGGTCTTAAAAAATGACTTCTACCTGGCCCCTGGGACCACTATATCTTCTGAAGAAGTCTTCGTGTTAATAAGGGAGAAATTTTGTCTTAAAAAAAAAATGCCCCGGGTTACGATGATTTAAAAAGAAAAATTAACATTTGTGAGGCTTATTGGAATAGTGGTGAAAGGACTGGGTTAGGAATAAGGAAAACTAGCTCTTGTCCTATTATTTATTAGGTGTGTGACCTTAAGCAAATTTGACTTCTCTGGTCCTAACTCTTCCTGGGTAAAATGTTAATTCGGCTACAATTATAGAATGTTAGAGCCAACAGAACAGAGATCATCTAGTGCTGTGCTTTTCAAAGTCCTTAGTTCAAATGAAAATATGTAGCAGCTCCAATGTAAAACTTAGAAAAGGAGAGTCACTTTGACAGTCTCCAGAATCTCACTCACGCCCTTCCCTCCACCACTGTGAAGTGGTCCACAAGGAGGATTCACAGAACACCCTTTGAAAACCACTCATCTAGTCCAAACCCTCACTTTCTAGAGAAGGAAACCAAGATTCAGAATAGGAGTGACCGGTTTAATGAGTACATTTCACTTCCCAACTAGAAAAGAGGGAGGGAAGCTGAATAAAACAGTTCAAGAATTTCATAAAAAATGTAAATTGTCAAGAAGGGATTTTCTATTTTAATTTTCTCAAAGTAGCCCCTTTATGAAAGGGAGCTTCAAAACTGATTTTAAGGCAACCAGTCAGCCAGAGGCTGAAATGAACAACTACTAGTTAGCCTGCAGGGCCTACAGAGAGGAGCGTGGCAGAAGCCACACAGACCTCATGTCACTTGGCACTTGAACATGGAAGATCCTGGCCCCAACAATTCAAGTACTGGAGGTTTCAAGAGAAATATTTAGAAAATTAGGAATAAGAACAGACAAGTGCCTAGCTCCCAGGTCCCCAAGGAGAATTCACCATCTATTACACAGAAATATTAACGGAAGTGGGCATGTTAGATCTTAAAGTGAACAGTGCAACCAAAATCACTAGTTTGACATTTCTTCAGAGGATCCTCTTCACAGAGGAAAGTCCTAGTTTGGTCACTGTTAGCCACAGCAGACTTGAAATTAAACCAGAAAGTTAAAATGCATGTCAAGTGCTGAACTTATTTGATCAGGGCTGTGATCTCTTCTGATTTCATGGCATCAGACAGGAAGCTGAGCTCATTGCATAAGGTCTCGTATCGGAATGCCATCCGGATCTGAGCAACATTTGTCTTTCGAATATCATTTCCTTCAGGTCCTTCTTTATAATAATTTTGTCCCAAAAACTTTTGCTTTTCCTGTGGACCAAGAGAAATACAAATGAAGCAATACACTTTAGATGTGCTTTGTATATCCATGTGGGCAGCTTTTGACATTTGCCACAGCAAATCAGACTACTATGTTTATCTGATTAGTGTTCCTTTTATTGGAGTTTGTTACACTCATTCTTTATAACAGTCATAGTTCAGATGTAGAATGTTTAGGTGTATCCCCAAAATATCACCTTTGGTTGTGTCTACAAATCCAGAAAAAGATGAATGTTGTTTCACAAACACAGCACTCGGAAACAAGTAAAAGAAAGCCAGAGGGATGTGCTTTCAACTCTGCTTTAATCCAAGAGGAAGCAAAGGCCTGGGAACAGGCTTTGATAGATACCAACCCAGGAGTTGTGATTTGTTTTCACAAGGCAGGGAGCAATGACATCGATCATTTCAACAGTACAATTTGAAGTAACACAGAATGAACTTGAGCCCTTTAGAATAGGTAACGGGTAACATGCCTCAAAAACCATTCCTCTAGAAACCTGGGCCAGTACACAACTGCCTTTTATTCCAGTTACGAACACAAAGGAAAGTAGGGATTTATCCCCAAAAAGGCCAGTTAAATACAAGGATGTAATAAAAGTGCAAAGTGCTATAGAAAAGGGTGTCTGAAAAGCTTGCAGGACAGGTAAAATCCAACATGTGTTGGCTGAACAGACTAAAATAATATCCAGAGAAAAAAAAATGAACGTGTGGCTTTTCTCATGGACTATAACAGGGCAGAAGTTAGAGAAAAAGATAGCAGAGGTTTACCTTCTGGGCCTAGTGAGCTTCAGTTTGAAAATTTTGAGTTTCCCTAGTGAATGTCATCCATGTTTTAGTAAAAGATAAATTAGCAGTTGATACTATTCATCTATTAAAGAAATACTGAGTGCCTACTATGTGCCAGGGACTATTCTAGGGCCTTGGGATATAATGCTGAACAAGTCTGCTCTAACAGCCTACATTCTAGAGGGAAGGACAGTAAAACACAAAACTACATACATATTACACTACCAGTAGTAATAAATGTTATGAAGAAAAACATTAAAGGGATAGAGAATGATGGCAAGCACATGGCTATTTTAGATGCGTGGCCAGGGAAGGCCTCCAAGGAGGTGACATTGAGTTGAAGTCTGAAAAAGGTGAGGGAGCAGCCATGAAAATTTAGTGCAGGATTCTCTCCCAAACCTGGGTCAGTGTGCCAGAGAACCTGCTTGTTCTGTTTGTCACAGATCTCCAATGCCAAGAAGTCACCTGGCACACACTAGGCATTCATTGCCCATTTATTGAAAGGACAGGAGGAACAGAGGCGGCACCATCCCACACTGTACCTGATGTGAGAGGCCGCTCTGCAGCACGCTGTTCCTGGCGATCTCGCACAGGTCGCACGTGCTCAGCTTCCACACTTGAGCTGCAATGGCATATTCTTCCATAAGTGCTTCCTAGATCCCTCCCCCAAAAGTACATGGATTAGATGGGAGGATAGCCATGTCAGTGCCTCGCATATTTCATCATTGCAGACTTGACATTTCTTTACTAACTGGCACCTGGATCATCAAACAACATCATGCCTTAAATTCCAAACTCCTAAGATCTTTTTTGTGTATAATCACAGGTTGCCAAACAGAAATATATGAAAGAACACCTGCACGCTTACTTATTTGCTGACCAGCACCAAGAGCCTGTCACATTCACAGCCCTGTGCCAGTTATCAGAGATGCCAGGCTCCGCTCTCCCATGCCAACCCCTCTAGTCATGCCGTTTTTAGTACCTGATCTCTAGCTTTGCTTTTTATTTCACACAACATTTTCTTAAGATTGTCCAAAAGTAAAAGTTAATATGAGTAAAGTACTAACAGCAGAGATGGAACATTAAGTAAGAACGAGAAATGATTACAGTATAAGCAGTGAGCTAGTGTAATCCCAGAATGATCTGGGTTTGAGCTACGGTTCTACCTTCTCCTCTAGGAGGTGAGATGCCGTCCATTCATCACCAGCCCTTCCAGGACCTCCCCCCAACCCTGCTGCCCCTGTGTCCTAGAGCAGTCATTCTCAAAGTGTCATCTAAGGACTTCTGGACATTCTCAAGACCTTTTGAAAGGTCTTCCCTTTTCTAGTGTATCTTTGTGAGACAAGATTTTCTTCACACACTTTGATGAAAACAACAATTGAAGAAGCAGATATGAGAATTCTATTAAGTAAAACATTAAAGAAATTTAGAAAAAGGTAAAATATGCCACTTCTCTTTTTTGTTTTCTTTTGGGAAATACAGTTATTTTCCAGGAAAACTGCTATTTATGTAACATTTAATAGATCTACTAATGATATTTTTAAATGAGTTAATATTTTTAAATTTCTCATTAGATTATAACACAGTAAATATATAGATATTACCCACATAAACAACAGCTCTTCGTGTGCCTTAATTCTTAAGACTATGAAGGAGCCTGAGACCAAAAGGCTGGAGAACCTCTGTCCTAGAAGACTGGTGCTGCTGTGTTTGCTCATCGGTGGCTGGTCTTGTCAACACCATCAAAATGTGCTAGGTACACTTGTGGCTGGTTTCGCACATGACATCACCTTTCCATTCCTCTTTTCTTTTCCCCGAGATTCACCGTGTAATAATAATAGCATTAATAAAAACAAGGTAGCTAATATTTTGGATACATATGCTGACACTGTATTAGACCTTTGGATCATCTTAATGAATCTCACAGTAAGGTAGCGGTAGAGACGGTTTTATTCCCATTTTACAGATAAAGAAAAATATGATACGGAGAGGTCTAATAACTTTACCAGGGTCTCAGAGCTAGTAAATGTCAAAAAGGGAAAATAGAGAAAAGCAAAAGATATTCAATTGTGCCTTCAAGAGTTCTAGAGCCCCATAGAGAGGGCTCCTGGAAGAACACTGCTCCTTCACTAGTGTCTTGCCTCCTGTCTTCACAAACCCTTCCCCAAAAGCAGCACTGAGCCATGAGCTCAGGTCCCTGAAATGGGAGGACAGGCTAGGACCGATGCCTGCTGGGGCACCACTGCCCTTCCCCCAACGTCCTCACCTTCGTGTAGTGGAACTGCATGGGGTCATCGGTGGAGAGAGAAACATGCAGTCCCTTGTGCAGGAATTCCCTCAGAGGGTTCTTGGAATATTCAAGGAACAGACTGTTGTTGCTAAGAGGAGACATGGCAATGGGGATCTGAGCAAGGTAGTAGAGATACTGCAATACCGGACTCTGCAAAAGAACCACCAAACTCATATGTGACAGGTGCCAGAGAGCGGAGGGGGAGAAGGGGGAGGGGGGAGGGAGGAAGAAAGGGGCAGAAGAAGCACTCATCAGTGGAAACCAGGTCTGAACAGTGTCTGTGCAAGACCCCAACCAAGCCCAAGCTCCCCAAAGCCAGAACCACCAGACCCCCTCTCTCCTTCCTGACCTATGTGGTCATCTTGTCCTGACATCATATGGCCAGCCCTCCCTGGCAACTGCCTTCTTGCCCACTATTGCAAATGCTTACTCTTGGCTCCAGACTGGGGGCAAAGCTCTGGGCAGCTGACCCCAATCTGTATCTTCAACCCCCCTCCCCTAGGCAGCAACCCCAGTCAGTAAGACCAGGAGATGTCTGCTTTTATTGCTTTTTTGTTACTTTGACTGAAAACATTCAGATTGAGCCTATAAATGCTCCAGCTCCTGGAGATGAGCCCTGAGGGACTGGAGGGGGAGACCTGACCAGGCTAGAATGGTTTTCTGGTGTAGCACCTGCCCCACACAGAAATGTGACCTGTGTTAGACCTCGCCAGGACCGTAGCAGGGGAGCATTTTGAGCAAGCATTGTTCCCATGGAAGTGATCCAAATAAGAAGACTGTATGCACAGAGTTCATGGCAGCATTATTTACACCATTGAAAAGTTGGATGGGGCTGAGCCCGTGGCGCACTCGGGAGAGTGCGGCGCTGGGAGCGCAGCAGTGCTCCCGCCGCGGGTTCGGATCCGATATAGGGATGACCGGTGCGCTCACAGCGCTCACCGCCTGAGCGTGGTGCGGCCGGCCTCAAAAAGGAAAAAAAAAAAAAAAGTTGGAGGGACTTTTTGTGTCCAAAAACGCGCTCACCGGCTGAGCGTGGTGCGGCCGGCCTCAAAAAGGAAAAAAAAAAAAAAAGTTGGAGGGACTTTTTGTGTCCAAAAACGCGCTCACCGGCTGAGCGTGGTGCGGCCGGCCTCAAAAAGGAAAAAAAAAAAAAAAGTTGGAGGGACTTTTTGTGTCCAAAAACGCGCTCACCGGCTGAGCGTGGTGCGGCCGGCCTCAAAAAGGAAAAAAAAAAAAAAAGTTGGAGGGACTTTTTGTGTCCAAAAACGCGCTCACCGGCTGAGCGTGGTGCGGCCGGTCTCAAAAAGGAAAAAAAAAAAAAAAAAAGTTGGATGGACTCTTTGTGTCCAACAACTGGAAACTGGTTGAGTCAATCATAGTCCAAGTGGCAGACTGTTCGTCCAACAGCCTTTAGAATAAGGAGCATAGATATTACGTTGCAACACCAAGAAATGCTTTTTACACAATGTTAAGGGACAAGGCAGGAACCAAAATTCTGTGTTCATTATAATAACCATGTTAAAAATATGCTCTGGAAAAAAGATAGAAATTGGAAATACTAAAAAGCTCATAATAGTTGTTTCTATTAAAGTAATAGCAATAAGGGTTGGTGGGGTTTTTTAAATTTTTTTCATTTTTTGGAAAATAAATTGTGATGAGTTGGATTAACTTTCATAAGTAAAAATGAGACCAAGATTACCACAGACAGCCCAGCCCAGAAAAAGGCCCTAGCCTTCTGGCATCACAGGCCAGAGCCTCCCAGGAGGCAAGAGAAGCCCAGGTCAGGACAGTCACTGCAGGGCAGGCTCCCCTGAGTGGCCTGGTTACCTTCTTGAGGAGCAGCCCGTGGGAAATGTTGTCCGCAGTTAGGAAAGCAGACACCAGGTGGGTGATGGAGCCAGCCTCCCCACAGTGAGGCCGGAACAGGAACGTGCTCAGGCCTCGCTCCCTGTAGGAGAAGGGCGGCCCTGAATCAGGAAGGACCCCGGGACCCCTGGTTTGCTCTTCCTGGGGCACCCCTAGCTCAGGGCCTACTCCAGGGGGTATAGTAACCCATGGCATGCACCCTGGAAACTACTCCTCCTATGATGGGTAGGTCCTATAATGGGAACCAGGCCCAAGAGCCTCTCAGAACCAAGAGACATCATCTCTGGGGGGGCAGAGAGGGGACTCAGTGGTAGAAAGGGGACCTGCCCTGTCCTCCATCCATTCCTCCACCCGTTCTTCCTATGTCCACAGACGTCCAGAGCAAGAAAGTTCATGAGAAAACCATCCAGTCTAACCTCTTTGTTATAAAAATGGGCAAACCAAGGCCCAGAGAGTAAAGTCTATATTCAAAGCCACTAAGCAGTGGCAAAGCTAGAACTAGAACCCTTGTCTCCAAAAGCTCAGCCCAGGACTACCTCCAGCCCACCAGGCCATTGTCTTCCATCATGGCCCCATTAGAAACCTCCACAAACACAAAATAGCACTGGCCTAGTCTGAGTTAGTGAGGCCCAGGGCCCAGCAGGGGCAGGTGGATGCAAGACTTGTAAGGAGGGCAACGTCTCAGTGTCCTGCTGCCCTGGGCATCCAATTCCTGCCCAGGTGGGCCTCTGTGTGTGTGTGTACTGGTGGGAGCCTGTGCATGGACAACCATCCATGAGGGCATGCGTGGAGTTAGTCCGTTTTGTTCCCTGTCATATGTTCAGAGCCCAGGACAGTGCCTGTCGCATTGCAGGTGCCATCATCTGCAGAGAGCATATATGCACATGTGAACGTTGTTGGTATGGTGGTAAGTGAACAAGCGTGTGTGTTGGCATGTCCTATGTTTCTGTCATCTCAGAGCTGTTCAGATACACATGGAGGTGTGTGTTGGTTAGTATGTGTGTACACGTGTGGTGTGTGGCTGCATTGCATATGATACATGTCTGCAGTGGCATTACGTGTGGTGGGCATGCTGCATGTGTGTGCCACCATGTAGACACATGCCTTGTGTAGTATGCTGGGAAGTATCCATGTGTTTTGTGGCATGTGGGCACATGGACAGGTGCATTGGTTCAAGTGCAAATAGACATGTGGATCACCTGTGTGTGTGCAATGGCACCTAGATGCAAGCGTGTGCAAGGACTGGCCTCACCCACCTGCGGAGGTTGTTCAGCACCATGATGTTGGCATACATGTAGTACAGGTAGTAGCTGTAGGGTGGGTTCTGCTCGCTGGTCCAGATGTCTGGACTGGGGCTCTTGTCTGAGAACATGTGGTCGCTATGCTTGGACTCATCATCCACGCTGTCGAACCCCGTCACCTGAACAGGAGGAGGGGTCCTGAGCATCAAGCCAAGGCAGGACGGGCCAGGACCCAGGCTCGGCTCAGCTTCCCAGGGCTCAGAGCTGAACTGCCAAAGGCCTGAGAGTCTAGGCTTCTCGGGTTCACATCTCAGATGGGGACCCTGCGGCCTGGGTGTGACCATATTCCCCCCGAGGATGGAGAGTGGGTACAATGCCACGGTCTGCCCCTACAGGGCTTCCAAAGGCACCAGACTGCAGAGTACCAAGGCCCTGTGTGGCAGTGGTGACAGTGGGAAAAATTCAGGCCAGGCCACGGGAAGAGTGAGGTAGCTGCACCACTGCCCATCCCTCTGCTGTGCCATCAGCAGCAGTGAGAAGCTGTGAGGGGAAGGGAACCTACTGTACATCACATCAGCTCATTTAATATGACCAGTGAGGGAGGGATTGGCTGAGGAAACCAGGGCCAATGCAACTGATGGAGCTGCCCCGGAGACTGCTGTGCTGAGCCCACGTGAGCTCCGGGGCTGGACTCGTCTGGGGCTGTAGGCGGAGAACAGTCCAGGGCATGCTCAGGTGTGGCTTGGAGAAAGCAGCCCACCACCTCACTAACAGACCCAGGGGGCCAGGCCAGGCTGAGCTATGGTTCCTGGGAGACAGTTTTGCTCCCCAACCCCACTGGGAATTTCCCTCTGAGCTGGGTCAGAGGGGCCTCAGGAAACCCCCACCCTGCCTCTGCAGTTATACCTCAGCGGGGTCCCACCTATGGCCAAAGAAAGGGAAAAGAGAGAAAGGCAGGGGTCCCATCTAGGCCACCAGCACCTGCTGGCTGATCTCAGAGGTCAAGCCCGGAGCAAGGATCTGGCTGTGGATGAGGATATGGGCTCCCAGCCAGCACAGGTGGGGGGTCGCTAACAGGTCCCTCTTTTCACTCAGAGGTACTTCGGGAAGGGGCTCTGAATACCAGACAGGAGGAAGAAAGACCGTTCAGCTCACTCCACAACTGGCCCAAACGGGGGTGGCCAGCCCAGGCCCCAGTCAGGTCTGCCAGCCTCTCCCGTTCCTACCTGGGCAGTAGGGACCCAGCAGAGCAAGGCACCATGAGGATCTTGGCCAGAATCTTCTTCCCTGTCACAGAGCCCTGTGTGTCAAAGGAAATGACAGGCTCCCCGATATAACTCTAAGCATGCCCTGGATAAGGGACCAAGGGAGGACCTCAAGCTCTGCTCTGTGCTCAGTAATCCCACTCTTCATCTGAACTTTCTGGGGCCTGGCATGGGGATAACGTCGGCCCCTCTCCAAGCTCTATTTAACTGATGCAGGGCCTCACAACTGCATCTCCCATGGTCTCAGGCACAAAAGATGTCCAAACCCCAACTCCTCCTCCTCCTCCCCAGCCTGCTCCTCCCCCACTGTTGGCAGCAGCCTCTGAAGGGCGCCGCCCACACTCCTGCAAAGCCAGGCACCTGGGAGGCATCCTGGACTCCCCTCTCTTGCTCTCCTGCAGTCTTTGCCCAGGTCCCATCAAGTCTACACCCAGAGTGCTGCCCGGCCTGGGTGGTTTCCATACAACTCCCTTTTCCTCCTGGGAGGCAACACAGAACAGGGGTTTAGGGCCCATGCTCTGCAGTCAGGCTGCCTGGCACGAATTCCAGCTCTGCCACTTTTTAGCTCTATGATCACTGTGTTTTAATCTCCTCCTATGTAAACTGGAGCTAGCCGCTTCTGAGGGCTGCTGTGAGGATTTTGTGAGAAAATCATGGAGAGCATTCAACACAGTGTCTAATACATAGCAATACAGAATTCCACTGCTTGTTACTAACAACACAACGGTGATGACGCTGGGGGCTTGGGGGCTGAAGTGAGGCCAAGTTGTGTGTGACCAGGCCAGGCAGCAGCACTCAACAGATGTGGCCATTACCATGGGCACAAGCTCCCGCCATGTCTCCATGTTTGGAACAGGCCCCTGACTCTTCTCTGTCCCTTCTCCCACCTCCAGCTACCACCGGTTCCAGGCCATTCTCCACACATCAGCCAGAATGGCATTTGTCTAAAACACAAATTCAAAGGTGCCCTCAGCTGGTCTAAACACTTTCCGGGCAGCCCCCTACAAACACACAGACTCAATCATCCCTTCCCCGTGCCCCAGCCCCTGGCTCCTCTCTTCCCCTCCCTGTCAGAACCCTCCATCACCCACCCAACTTGCTTCCCACTGTCTGCCACCCCATCTGGGCATTCAGAGGGAGGGACCGGATCCCACCCCCTCACTCCCTTCCTGGTTAAGTCTCTCGCCCATTCCCTCTCTCCTTCTACGACCAACCAAATATGGAAGAGAAATACATCTGTAGGATTTGTTGGACTTAACCAAACATGGTGTGAGGACCTTTGTTTCTAGGTAAAAGCAGGAGAGTTGAAATGTCCACATTTCTAAAGAAGACCTGATGTTGCAGCTCAGTGCTGCTTGGGACAGGATCTGGTCTTGCCACCCCCACCTGGCCAGGAGCTGCTGCCCTTCCCCGCTGGGGCACAGCCTGGCCCCCAGAACCCCACCACCACCACCAGGCCCCTTAGGAGAAGCAGACTTCCCCTCCCTGAGGGAGGCTCCCTTAATTTAGAAATTCAGTTTCTTGGGGCTGGCAACCCCATGCCTGGAGCACATGGCCAGGATCTGAGAAGGGGAGCTCTGGGAGGGGCAAGGAGGACCTGACCCAACCACGTACAACCCGCTGCCGCCCACTGTCACTATAAGCCTTGCCTGGGGAGCCCCCACACTTACATATTTAAGGAAGAGGTGAAGCTCTCGATGATCTTGGGGGTTGATAGTGGCCTGGAAAAGGGGCAGAAAGATGTTCTCCAGCATCTTCCCAAAGTTTGGCAGCAGCTTCTTTGCCCTAAATATGTCACTGGGGGATAGCAAAGACCTGCTTATTAGGTGGACCCCACAGCCCCTGTGGCCTGGCAGTGATCATCCCGGTCACTTCCTCAGGCTGCCTCCGTCCCCATTAAACACCAGAGTAGAGTTGAACGTGGCCTGAACACGGATCCTTCCTTCCTTCTCCGCTCCCAGCAAGTTCTGCAAGACTAGGCATTAGTTTGCAAACTCAACACCTACCTGTGCCCATCAGAGCACTTTCTCGAGCCAGAGACCAGGAGTGGGGAGGAAGATTCAGGCATCCAAGGATCGAGAGATGAGTACTCAGACGTCCCAGTGATCCACATTCCCTGCCACTCAGCTTAGTTCCCCTAAACCACACACCGGAGTGGGGAGGAAGATTCAGGCATCCAAGGATCGAGAGATGAGTCCTCAGACGTCCCAGTGATCCACATTCCCTGCCACTCAGCTTAGTTCCCCTAAACCACACACCCAGCCCGTCCCGGAACTATGGCCCACATGGGCCAGTCACCTGGAGAGGACACGGTGGTCTAAGTGATGTCCAGGGAGAGGGCCAGCAGTGCAGGCCACTACCAGGTGGCCTCATACCCCAGGGCTCACCCAAGAGACAATCCATCCTCAACCCTCAGTGAGAAGAAGGCAGGGTGGTAGCTCCCCCAAGGCCTTTACATGTGTATATTTTTCGAAGAACAAGAGTTTAAGTGTCACAAGGCAAGGACACCTTTGGCAACCACTCCTTCCTATGGAGAAATCCCTGGAGAGCACAAGCCTAAGCTGGCACCAGAAGAGGTCCCACCCCTTAGCATTTCGGACTCAGCAGCCCACACAGGACAGGCTGTCATCTCCAGAGTGCATGGGGCAGACAGCAGGCACCTCACTTACTAGATCCGGGGCACCTGGATGATCCAGCGCATGTTGGGTGAGTAGACCTTGTGCTGAATGAACCAGCGGGCCAGGTTGGGCCACTCCTCGGGACTGCGGCCATAGATGGACAGTCGTGGCTCTGAGTACTGGTACTTGCTCTCCTCCAGCTCCCGGGCCACCTCCTGGCACAAGAAGAACTCGGGTTAGCCCAAGAGCATCCCAGCTACACAGGAGACCCTGCACCCAGCTCTCCATCACCAGCTGGGTCCTGCAGCTCCCTCGGCACCTGCTCCCAGGCAGGGAAGGCCAAAAGGCCGATGTGATGCCAGTGCTGCCTGCTGCCATGTGAGCACTTACCAGCTCCACCTCAGCAGAGGCTCCTCCCTGCGGGGGAAGGCCTTGGGTCTGCACCATCAGCTATAGAAGCAGGCCAGGCAGCAGAAGCGTCTCCACAAGGAGCTAACCTGCACCCAGCCAAGTTCAGGCTGCAGAGAGACAGCACAGCAAGCCTG